CACACACACACACACACACACACACACACACACACACACCCACCACCACACACACACACACACACACACACACACACACACACATACACAAACAAACACACACATCTGCACACAGCTCGAGTTTTGCTGATCAAACAGGCTGCTGTTTATGTGTTTACTGGCAGAGTTTGGAGTGCGGACTTAATTGTGAGCACGCACTTTTCCAAATGTCTGATCTGATATCGAACCTGCGGTGTGACCGTAAAGAGGGAGCAGCTAGTCAGCTGGGTTGTGCAGTTTGCAGATGCTGCAGTGGCCATCGCTAGAACACAATGCTTTAGGTGGTATTTTGATATGAAGATGCTCTGCTGTTTCATCAGATATGTTGACTAAGAGTCTTTGACAAGATGGCAAAAAGTGTTCTGTTTAGGCTAAACATCAATTTCAAAACTATAATATTCTTAAAAATAAAATGTTTAGTTAGAAGATTGCCCAAATAAGGTGAAATCCCAGATACAGAGCAAATTCTTTGTGGAAAGCAAAGACAGATTAATGCTTTCTCTCATGGGTAAAAACAGGCTGGAGAGAATTAAGCAATAATTTTATTATTATCAGAAACCATTAAAGAGAAAGGAATCAGACATCAGGCAAATTCTTCTGCAATTGAACTCTGCACGATAGTTCAGTGTATGAATGTTTGAGTTTAAAATAGTTTTTAAATTGATCACCCAAATAAAAAATATCAGATATGATAGAAAAAAAAAGCTGACTGCATGAAGTTCAGATGTTCTTGGTGCTTTGCTCAAAGTCTGAAGCAGTTAAATTTATATTAAAAGAGGGCAGCAATATGCAGGTAAAACTCTAACATTGCAGCAACCTGTGTGTTTGTGTTCGTCCAGTCACTCAAATCATTTTTAAATGACAAAACCTTCTCTGCTTCTCATATGAGAATATCTGACACTAAACTAAACAGATGATATCCTTATTTTCTCTGATAGTAAATGGAACATATTTGGGTTTGAGCTGAGAAAATAAAGAATCCATCTACAGTAAAGTTATCACTTTAAACTGTTAAAGCTTTGACCCATCACAATTTGCCAACAGGTCAAACAAATAGTGAAGGAAATAAAATGTTGTTTAATAATAAAGATCGCTGTTAGTTTGAAGCCCAGATTAATCGTTTGCTCTCTGAACATATTTTATCTGGAAAGTAGTACAAGGACATTGTGGATATCTTTCATGGTATCATAATAGACACAAGTTCTTAGTTTCATGCTCAGATGAAAACAGCTGATGTGGTATCTCGTTCATGATTTTCTTCTGAACGGTTTCATTTTACTCCTTTATCTCCCAGTGCTTGGCTTCGCTTGGCACTGCGCAGTCTTATCTCCTGCCACGTTTCATCACTTATGAGGCCTAAAACTGTGAAATTAGTTGGTTGCAAAATTCTGGTTTGGCTCGCCTGTGTTTAGGCTTTGTGTGTTTGTAATAGTAGGTTTAACTGGAAGAGACAAAAGCCCGATTCAACCGTGAATGGGGATTTTTGCATTAACCGGTTTGTCTTAAAAGAAGGGCAGTTTATTTTCATTCCCTGTGTTAAAATCGTCTGATGGTGAGTCATGCAGCAAAGGCAAATGGTCAGGAAGGCTGCGGTCAAGTGTCTGCAGGCTAGCAGTGGGAGCAGAGCCATATAGATACATTTGGATTATCTGTACATCAAATATGGTTAGAGACCAATTTAGACTTAAAGCTCAGAGCAGACGATTAATGGGGTTAGCATGAAAATTTGCAGGTTTAGAAAGTGTTTAATGCCACATTTAATGTGGATAAAACTTCAAGTGGGTGGATTAAAACAGTGTAAGATGAAAAATGATAGATTGTGAGTCATTCCCTCCTCAATCACCTGAGAGGCTTAGGCTGAAAAACCCTCGCCTACTTGCTAAAAAGCTTTGAAAAAGAAAAGAAAAAAGATCAATAATGATAGTGCTCTATTTATGTCATTATATTTGTGATTTTAGCATGTGGCAGACCAAGCATTCATGCGTACTTGAAACTAATCCCAGCTGTTTGCAATTTGCCCAAAGATGACAGCCCCAACAACTTTTATTAACTTTTGTTAGTTTTCGCTGGTCTGCATCTGAGCACTGAGAAAACCTGAAGGTGCTCTTACTTCACAGCTTCAGCAAGGGAAAAGTCAGAGCCAAGTCAAATGTCGATGAATGGGTCCATTGAGCGTGCAAAGATAAATAAAAGCACCATTTTCAGCATTTAAATGTAATTTTTCAGTAGTTCAAGAGCAGTAGCTGCCGATGTCTGTGACTGAGACGATAACTCGTGCGGCCGACCAGGTTGTAAACTCTGAGCTTGTTGATATAACCGCAATGAGAAACTTAGGAGGTCAGACTGTGTGTCCACATTTTATACTAAGTCACTGTGTACTTTCTTCCCTGACTCCCTTCCCCTGACCTAAAAAGGTTCAACAAAATATAAGTAGCTATGCAGTTTATTACATTCGTTTTGCACAAACTAAGAAAAACTTGAAATATTAAGCAGATGTCACAGAGCAGAGTAACCGAGCAGAGAGTATACACATCTGGGAGTGTGAGTCACTTTATTTAGACAGCAGAGCTGCTTAAATAGTTAAAAAATGAACTTGTCAGTGCAGATGGTCAGCCTGCTTCAGGAAATGAGGAGCATCATGGATCAATACATCAATTAATGGTTTTTGGAAGTCATGTTTGCACTCAAGCTTTTTAAGACATCATGAAACCAAAAGGACCTTCTTCATGTGCCTGGATGGGGCGTAAGTATGTGTTTGTGTGTGTAATGCTGGGAAGGTGTTACATAAGCCAGTGTAATGTGTGGTTTTACATCCTAAATACTGAAACAGTGTTCTGAGGTTTGACTAAATTCATAGTGGAAGCGTGACTGCAGGTTGTATTTTTTATCGTAAATTAATTCATATTATTGTGAAAGGGAAAATGTGTAAGCCAGTGATAAACACCTCATTTCTTTGGTAGGTGAAAAATGGGGAAAATCTGAATATTTGAGAAACTGCAACCAGTGAACGTTTCGCCAAAACAGTCGATTCATTTTCAGTAGTTGCCAAGTAATTACCGTTGAAGCGCTAAAGGGCTAAAAAGTAGCTAACAGCTTCACATTTATTTGTTTTACTGACACAATAAACTGAACAAAAGCCAGCCCTGGTCTTTCATTCTGTCCTGATGTAAACTTTTGTTAAAAGATAAATGACATGAAATTGGAGCTGGAATAAAAAAAAAAACTGTAATAATTTTACAGCAGAATTAATTAACCTTCATTTTGTGTTTTGGTTAAAAATCAAACACTGTACTTTCAGACTTTTGTCATGGGATTACACACTCTTCATGCTCCAGCCACATGGCTGTGATTCATTTAAAGTTTTGGCAACCAGACGTTATTTTCCTGTTTTGAAATCTCTGAGGTACATCGAGTATTTTAAGGGCATCTGGTGCATGACGCTCGCCGCACTGCTGCAAAACATTCAAAGATTTCATTTTGTAGAGTTTAATCCTAAAAAATGATCTGGTTTCAATAACGTCCCTGCAAAACTCTGAAATCAGCACATGTGATATGAAGCTGCGCTTAGTGAGGCATTTTACGGCATGGAGGCAGATATAACCGCAGGCTGCTCAGTCAGCTAATTGTCCCTCTTCACATCCGAGGACTATCAGGTCTTTACTGTTCTTCAAAACAAATGCCAGTTCATTGACTGACTTAAGCACAGGCTGGTTTAGTGATGCGGGCCAGATGAACAGATAATGAGGGTTGTGAGTGTGAAGTTTAGTTAGAGGAACGTTTGATGTTTTACTACTTTGAGCCAGCAGGAACATTTTAATGATTTTCACCACATGTTTGTCTCAAGTATCTGTTCAGTGACGATCTGACTGCTGCCAGTGTCTGCACGTTATTTACTCCTACACATTATGTAATGCAAACGAAACTGTAAACACATTACTGAGCTGGTCGATTTTCTGTCTTTGTCTCTGCAGCTTGCCTGTTCAGGTACAATGTCCTGTCCTTCGTCTACCTCATCTATCTCCTGCTTATTCCACTCTTCCCAGAGCCTACAAGCACAACAATGCAAGGTAAGCTCTACAGTGCCCCTCTGAAGCTGTGTAGTTTCAGTGGCTTTGCCATCACCCTAAGAATCTTGACTGTTTCCCAGAGTTTGAATTGACTTGTTGTTCTCTATAATACAAACCAGCCCTTCTGCAGGAGAGTTGAATTTCCTTAAGATGAGCATGGATTTGGCACATAGCTCAGTCCATGAAAGGTAATATTGGTTAGCGCAGGCATGAGTCCATCTGTAATAATAAAAATGATCTGCAACCGGCCAGCTCTGAGATAGAAAGATGTGATCCATTAGGACCACATCTAAGGAGCTCTTCATGAAAATTGCCATTTTACGCTCAGGTTTAGTTTATTTGCTCATATAATACCCATATAAATGATACAAAACTAAATACATGAGTTGTTCTGTCGAGAAGACAAACACAAAAGAGCTTGTAAAATATCTCTTAGAGAAGAAAAGAAAAAGAAACTTGGGATGAGGACTGGTTTTGACAATGGCTAACCATTTTATTTGAAGAACAGAAACTGAGAAGTTTCTCTCTCCAGGCCATAACATCACGATCTGCGTGCGTCTGTGATGTTCATTAATTCATCCAATTTGAAGGTGGAGGTGACCTTTAACCTTTCTGGTGTTTTGGTTTAGATAAAAATGCAGGAAGTATACAGCCGGTAAACAAGCTTCCATATGATCTTCTGACAGCTATTTAGAATCCATTCATCCTCTGAAGAAATATGAATCACGGTGGACCTCTGCGGTTTATGAGAAGTGACTGAGGTGACTGTTCTCCTTACGGGTGATGAATGTGGGATTTAAGCCTCGCTTTTATGCACTTCATCCACCACAAAACACTAAACAGCACACCTCCCAGACCTCTAATAATACAGGCTTCTGCAGGAGACCACATGTAGTGTTTAATAATACATAAACCTATTTTGTCTGAGGGAGCGACGTCCAGTCCGAGATTCGTCTCTGCTCGTCTCCAGCTGAAATAACAATCAGGAAGTAAAGGAGGAAGAGAAAGCGAGGAGGTGCGGGAGAGGAGAAAGTGGACCACTTACAGTCTCATCAATAGTTAAAGAGACTTCTAGTAAAGCTGAACGCTCATGAAGCTGATAGCTGCTGATTTCAAGAGTCGTTCAACAGTCATGACAGGATATACATTAAGGATAATAATAATGATATTTAAAAAATAATATATCGATAATGTGTCAACAATACTCACAATAATGCTGTTACTATTTGTGTAACTGATTTTTTTTGTCTAGCTTTTGCAAACACTGGCCAAAGTAAAATTGCCCCCAAAAATCACATAAACACTGTTATAGGTGAATTAGACTGACGGACATTATTGTTGTTACGTTTTTATTTTCCTGCCTTAATGGGTGTTTTAATATCTATATTCTCTATAAATATTCTTAAACTGCATGCTTCAAAAAACAAAAAAATATACAAAGTATTCCTGTTACTAATAAGGCTGAAATTAAGATTTAATTTTACATCTGATTATTCACATTTAATGTCTAAACAACTCACTTTTGTCAAAAGTACCAAACCCAAAAGACTAATCTTCACCCAGGTAATTTCCCAATTGAGGGATGGAACTGGCCAGTTCATTAGGTACAACTCACCAAGTGCTCATTAACACAAATCTGATTAGCCAGTCACATGGCAGCAACCCGGAGAGGATGCATTTCGCACGTGCTCACCAAAATTATACAATAAAAGTTTGGAAAACTGTTGCCTTGTCTGATGAGTCAGTCTTTCTGCTTCGACTGTCAGAATTTGGTGCGAACACCATTAAAGCGTTGCTCCACCCTGCCTCGTATCAGCAGTTCAGGCTGCTGCTGCTGGTGTAATGGTGGGGGGGGGGGTATTTTCTTGGCGCGCAGTACCAACTGAGGATCATTTAAGCTGGAGGATTGTTGCTGCCATTGGTTAACTTCTCAAATTCAGATTTTATGAACTTCAGAACATATTCAACAGGTTTAGAGTGCAAACAACTTCACTCTGGTATAAAAAAAATACTAATAATAAGCACTGAAAAAGAAATAAATACTAGAATAAATGTAAATGTATTTTATTGTTGTTTGATTTGATTATTAACAATAATTGGTATGTTTTCTTTTCTTATAATCAATCAATGTTAATTATTTCTGCAGTCCTGAGCAGTAAGTTCGAGTTTCCCTAGAGAGGCATTTCCAGGCATAATTACCAGCTGCTAAAAAATCTGTCACTTATAAAAAGCTCTTATATAACCTAAAATAAAAAAAGTCTTCAGACCCATTGAAACAATTCAGTTTTTCTTACTTCGTAGTAGAAATTTTTTGTAGCTGCAAACTAAAAGAACCAATCCACAAAAACGTATAGATGTCACAACGTCACACCTATGTGACAAGGGGCGATGACGTGCTGATTAAAAGGTCATTCAAACTACTATTAAAAAATGTTGGTAGGCCGCCACCCTGACAAAATGCCAGTTCTTTTGTTTACCCTTAAAGGAAAGTGGATTAAATTTTTAGTAGCTTATGTTTATGTGACCTTTCACCGCGCATTGTCAGAGTATCCAAAACAGGAGAGGAGTGAAGTCATCGGCGTCAGAAAGTATGAGATATCCTTCCAGTGCAACCCGCCAGGACATGCGTCCCATCTGTCTGCCTCAGCTGTCTGTCATCAGGGAGGGGGCTGCAGGCTGACAGGCTCACTATGAGGAAGTTATGGCAGGAGGACTTTAATAACAGGATAATATACAGTGTACAAAACAGCTGGAACAATTACGATGTTGTCATTGCACAAACAGCTGATTGTAGGTAGATATTGTTTAGAGAGTTGAAGGGGAGAGGCGTCTCATATTTCTACCATGTACAGTCCAATTCAGTACCTTTAAGATGCACATTGGCTTAAAATAATCACCATGGAAACATTTAATCAAATTCATTTGATCTCTGTTTATGTTGTTACCAGATAATTTCCTAATTTCTAGTAACATTCCTGTTAATTCATATGTTAAAAATCAGCTTTTGACACTAAGCACCAATTAGACACAGGCAGCACAAACTTATAAAAAGCATCTTATTTTGCAGTAAAGACTCACATGTTCAAAATCATTTTAGAGGGAATTAGGTAAATAGATTGAGCTAAATTCACTGCTTTGTTTTGATGGTCTGTTTCATTCAGTCTTTTCATCTTCGAGGACATGCAGCAGTTAAATCTGTTAAGTTAATTTAAAACGAATGTTTGACATGAATAATTCATTAGGTGCGTTTTGCTTTGAAAAGCTGCAGCGCGGCTGTGTGCCCGAGGATACGTGAGCACAGAGACAATATTTTATGCAACTTGTTGTTGTTGTTTTTGTGTTTTACTCTCTAATGCTGTAATTGCAGTATTTAGCTCAATGTACCTTTGAAGGCATTCCCAGTGGAGGTGAACAAAATCTAAGCTGTTGCTTTTAAAAGAGCAACAAGCATTGCGAGAGCTTTCGCAGTAGGTGTTACAAGCTTTGTGAAATCTGTAGTGACACGACCGGAAGTCTTTTAGCCGTCTTACATGACTTCACATAAATATTTGATGTTATGGGTTATATGGTTATCAGGTTTATGTTTTAGCTTGCAGACTTCTAATTTGGCTTTTTTTCTTTTTAGTCTTTGTCATGCTTTCATGCTTTTTAACGACCTGAGATGCTTTTTCTCTTATTGCTAAGTCGGACAGCAGGCTTCCCCATAAATTGAACTGGTCTTTAAAAGACTTAATTAGGCTTTTCTGAAACTGTGATTTGGCAGGACAGCGTGTTTTGTCAGGTCTTAACGCTGTCAGATGGATGAAGTTCTTTGACTGTTTAGGAAAAAGAAGGAACCGTTAAAACCAAACAATGGCCTCTGTTTTGAAAGGGGGGGGAAAAGTGCTCTTGGGACAGAATTTTGAAACTGAAAAAGTGACGCAGATTACTTTTTCAAGATGAGCATTGGCAAACAAGTCAGATGGCCGTCAGGCAGCAAAAATGTTCTATTACAAATAGGAAAAACAGGGGGTAAAGCCAAACCAGTTGCAATGTCCCGAGCCTTAGTACCAGTTTGGATGCAGAAGCTCGCAAAAACTCCTCATACCTCGCATTTACAAGCATTCTTTTCCCCCATTGTGAAAGCATTGGGAATTGCAAAGGGAAATTAACACAAATTGTTTTTACTTCAACATTTACTGCAAGAAGTCCAACGTGATGTGTTGTTGCACACGTTTGATAAGGTTAGCCCTCAGCGGCCCGAGGCTCAGCAGTAGCGCCTCACCTCAGCCAGGATATTACCCCACTGTAGTAAAACTGCTGTGCATTCCCCCACAAGGATGCAGTAAATTTAATGAGATGGGGATGTTGCCCAGCGAAGAACCAAACTGTGCAGATAAGCAAAACTATTTGATAAAACATTGTTGATAGCCCAGCACAAGACATTACTGTTATTTATTAATCAAAGAACGAGAGCCTGATCCCGCTTCATTTGCCTTCTCTCGATCAAGATTTTTATTTTCATAATTAGTGGGAAACCTGCTGCTGAGAATTTTGACCATAACAGCTCCTGAAATTATCCCAAATACCTGTAGGTGCACCATAAAGTGGCCATGTGTTGAACAGCTGTGGCAGCTCCCCTGCCCGATCTCTTCCACCCTCCCAGGATCAGTCATGTCCACCGACAGCTGTATTCTTCACAGTCAACACCTTCATGTTCATGGCCTCCAACAGCCAAGTCCTTAACTGTGAACACCAACAGACACTGAAGCTGAAGAGCAGAATTAAGTCCAAAAACTTATAGACGGTAACTTATCGACTTAGAGGTCCTGTGGTCCACCAAAACGTTTATTTGACTTGTCAGTAGAAATTAGCTTTGCTCAATAGTAACGTTACCAGCTCTTGACCAGGATATGTATTGTGATCCACTGAAAATCCCTCCTGGGTGCTGTCCCAGTCACCCTCACCTTCTTTACCAATTTATTCAAAACAGCTCCAGACTCCAGGCACTGACTTTTTCTATGAGAAACAGCTGTCTGTTTTCAAATCCATTCAGTCCTAAACTGAAGTCCTAAGAAAACTACACGAAATGGCACTTTTTAAATATGTCACTCAAACTCAAAAAGAAGCAAAATTTCACTTTTGTGTTTGATAAAGTTCTCAGTATCTACACAAGCAAACCAGCGCATAGACTTTTCTGTGTTTCAGTGGATGAATGAACATGTGGGAATCTTTAAATTGAGCTGTGTTGAACTCACTGTAGCTGTTCTCCTCTGTTAGGCCACACAGGGCGTCTCCTCCAGTCGCTCTGCTTCACCAGTATGTCCTTCCTGCTACTCCACATCATCTATCAGATTACCATCCACAGCCTCGTGGCCGGGAACTCCATCGCCTCCAACTTCAACTGTGAGTACACTGCAGCCATTGTAGTAAACTCTCTAAGAGTAGCGACGTTTATTCTGTATACAGAAATCAAAAAAATCCCTCACGGGTCAAGAATCCAAGAAGCGGGAATGGAGTTTATTGATTGAGTGGTCTTCTGTTGTTCTTGCCTTCTGGAAACATTTAAAAAAGACATGCAGGAAGCACCTTATTCGTTTTTAGAAAAGGGGATAGACTAATAAAGCTGAATTAAACCCTTTAAAATCATTTTCTGCCAAACTGTGAGTCAAGGCAGAGGTATGTGACCGTTGCAGTTTGTTTCTTTGCACGATTACATGAAAACTAGCAAGGTGGAGTTTATGAAACTTGGTAGAGCGGTGGAGTATGGGTAAAAGTAGAGCTCATTAATTTCTGGTGTAGATCTGGATAGGGCAGAGGTCGGCAGCTTACCTCTGGGTTAAGACATTGGCACTGGCAGAGCATTTAAGGGTATTTTTCTATAAAATCATATTTTTATTGGATCAAATGTCTTTTGCAGGGAACTTATTGCTTTGGTTGTATTCACTGGGAAATCAAATATGGTAAATGTACTGTATTTATTCTTATTGTATCCTAATTTTTGCCTCATAACTTTTGCACTGTCCACTTCCTGCTGTGACAAAACAAATTTCCCACGTGTGGGACTAATAAAGGTTATCTTATCTTATCTTATCTTAAACAAAAACACCATCTTTTTCTAACCTGTAAGAGCTTAACCCTGGTTTACACTTGTGTGGGTAACCTAATGGTAGATTTGGCTTAATTTGGTCATGTTGCACTTTGATTATTTACCCTGTAAATATTTATTTTCTGAGATTACCACAAATACCGTGTTTTAAATCATGCACGTTGAAAAGATGTCCAGCCTGCTTTAAAAATGCAAATTACCTGCATTACTTTCAAATAATTTGAATTTAATAAGCCTAAGATGTCAAGTTGAATCAAATGTTTGTATCTGAAGAGTTTTTAGGAACTCAGTCGCAGGCCTAGAGAACATAAAGCCGTTCTCTCTGATCAATCATGGACTTTTTTCATTCCCACATAGCCAAAATAGCTCCAGTGTCTGATTACACCTTTTAAAGAGGTGTACACATACGAGCTGTGATGTAGCCTCTGTGCTCCAGCAGCTGCACGTAGCTGCTGGAGTTATTGCGTACAGCAGAAATATAAATGAGGCTAAACCTGACTGTAAAGACATTAACCATGATTTACTTGCACAGAACGGATGTTTTTTGGGGGGTGGGAAAGACCAGATAAGGCGGATTCTCTTCCTGTTCATGACCGACTATGTGCACACGTGTGTCCCATCAGTCTCACGTGCCCTTGTATACCTGCACTCTGACCAGCCCCTGATGCAAGGTCACAAAGTTGTATATCGCCAGAGAAAGTTGTAGCTTTTTCACAGCCTGAGGCAAGATTTCCATCCAAAACACTAAGTGAAGACATGCACCATTTGCAGGAGAGATCACACTTCACTCTGAATAGTAATTCAGGTTTTTTTTTTTTTTGAGATACCTTCATTCTTATTGCATTTTGTCACATCATGAAGATTTATGGATCCGACACATTTCTCAGTGTAATTAGCTTCTTTGTGCCATATGGCAATGCAGAGAAAAAGGATCCTTGGTGCCAGTAAAGCAAACATTGTAAGTTCCTGACTCAGTGTTGGGAAGGTGTTAATAGCTGGCTTTGGGTTTCTCATGAAACTCTGTATCAAACTGTAAAATATGAACGTGTCTAGACGGGACAGACCCTGACCTTATGTTATAATGACTTGTTCTCTCTAATGGAAGCGGCTCGGTTTTCTCCGCCGAGAAACGGCCAACTCACAAGGTAGAACGAACCTTATCGCCTCAGGCAAAAACACACGACACCTCTCAGAGAGGGTAGACTAAATATTCTGTCAAGGAAGTCCTTATTCCTAAAGTCTCCGGGGCTCCAGTTTTTTGGCAGATCAAACCCTGGAGTGACACCATAAATTCTGTCCAGTTATTTTATATAAATTTGTATTTTTCATTCAGTGGAAGCACTTTGAATCGCATGCTTTGAAAGTGCTATACAAATAAACTTTCATTATTATTATTTTGTGTAAAAAAATGAAACAATCCAGTAAAAACAGTGAAAACAGCAACTTTCTCTCTAGCCAGAGCAAGTTGTGTGACAGTAAATGTCAAGGATTTGCTGTGTAAAAGGCAGATTGTGTGCTAGGACTTGAGAAACAGGAGTGAACTTAAAAATCAGCTTTAATGCTGTTAGCTCACAATAATACAAAAGTCCAAACATCTGCATAGCAGAAGCTGGGTATCTGAATACCAGGGATCTTTAGGAAATCAGGCTAGGGAGACACACAGCCATGAGGGACGACAATACAAAGGACAAGAGAAGACTCAGACGATATATGCATACCACAGATAATGTGGGGAGAGATAACAGGTGGGAGGACAGCTGTAACTAATCCAGAACCTGAGACAAAGGAAGTAAAACATCACACAAGACACAGAGAAAAACAATAACTAAAATAAAACAGGAAGAGATAACGGCAACAGAGATTAAGCATGACACGGAAATAGAAGGGAGGCGGGAATACCAGGAAATTCAAGGAATTAAATATGAAACAAATTCTAACCAAGAACAACCTAAATTTGAAACTGAAATCGGAGAATATGAATAAACAGACACCAACCAGGAAATGTTGTTATAAGAAAAATACAAAACTCAAAACACATGATTCGTATCTCCAAAAGAATCAAGAACCCATAAACCCAAATCCCTGCGGCCAAGACCCAGAGTCCATGATACAAAAAACTGTAGCGTAACCAGCCAGATGTTAAAGTTTCTGTAGCCCAAACCTTATGCTGTAACACAAGAAATACAGATTATTGCAGTAAAGAACACAAATACATGACTTTTTAGAAATCACCTGCATTTTAACTGACAACCTATTCACTCACATAAGCAGATTAACTCAAGACAAATAAGATACACTTTAGCTTTGACATCCAGAGTTAGCGTGACTAAATTCTGGAAGAGATGTATGAATCACAAGAGAAAGCACGATGTAAAAACCCACAGATATGTAACATGCAGAAAAGCACAATGACCAGCTTTAAATAATAAGTCTGTTTATATATTTTTTTTATATATCTTTGATTATAATAAATCAAGTCAAAGTGAACTTCCGTCGATTTATTAATTTAATTCCGCTTATCCAGCTCGGATTCACGGGATCTTGAGTCTGTCCCAGCTTCTAAAAAAGGACACGAGGCTAGGTACCCCCTAGACAGGTCGCCAATCTGTCGTAGGGCCAACAGAGAGACAGAAAACCATTCACGTTTTAGCCAGTTAACCTAACATGATAGTCTTTGTGGGAGGAAGCTGGAGTACCCGGAGAGACGGGCAAATTACACAGAAAGGCCTCAGCCGACCCACGACCGTGGTTAGTTGAACTGGTTCTGCTATCAAATATTGTGTGTGCAGCTTAGCATGTTCTAGTTTTATCTGTTTGCTAGCCAATTGTTACTCAGACACTATTAATAACACATTAGTGAAACACTGCTATTCTAGTTGACATGTTCCTTAATGAGTGCTCGGACTGTTTTATTCTGACTCGGTCCATATCCTGTCTCTAAATGCTCGTGCGTTGCCGTCGGACATTGTGGAGCCTTTTTAAAAAAGAAATTAAAATAAATACTTGTCAGTGGGTTTTAAGAATCCTGCTTTCAGTTCGAAGAAGTAGTGGATGTTGACACACTGAGGAAGTCAGAAAGTGCTTGGACTGGGCAGCACATTGTTTGTTTTGTAGATCTTTGAGATTAGCTGAAAGTAAGAAAGTAAAGGATATCAGACTTAATTGTTAAGACTGATTTAAATCAATAGAGGCTGTCAATTCAAATAGATACCCTTGATAATTGTTTGAGCAGGAACAGTAGATATATTAAAACAAAAAGCCCCCCCCCCTTTTGTTCCTCCAGCAGTGCAAAAAATAATAGAAAATAAATAAATAATTTGGTGTACATGACTTACCTTCCTCCCTTGAATGCACACCACTCCTGGTATTTTAAACATGCTTAGTATGGATTCTTGCTATCTAAAGTCAGGCTATTTATGCTTTGCCTTATCTCACACTGGAATTTCAGTAAAAACCACACTGAGTAGATCAAAAACATCCTTGTATCGTGTCAAAACAACATTTCGCAGCACACTTCTTTTAAACAATCTGCACCCAATCTTGCACAATATGCAAACCGATGATTTTGATTCACTGTGATGATTTGTATACATGTTGTTGGCTTTTCCACTTCCTGAAGTTAATGTCAGCCTGTTGATATTGATATTTTAATGTTATTTCTATACAACAGGAAGTTAGGCATTACTCTTTGTCTTCTCATTCTGCCGCCTGAGAAATAGCCTTATCTCAGATTTTCTATATCTGGCATTTAGCCTCCTTGACACCCTTTTCCTTTTGGCAGTCGAGTATAAACAAGGAGTCCTCCTTCGCAGTTAGGTGGTTATCCTCTCCCCGGATAACTTCATATAATTTCCTCCGTTCACCGCAGCCAAATACGCTATTAGAGCAGTAAGCTGAGTATGAATGAGAAAACCTTTCCAAAAAAGCTGACACCTCCAGCTGTTGGAGCAGGTCAGCGACTGGTCACCAGATGAGTCCGGGGACGCCTTCCTTTGGAGTCATCCGTCATTCCTGCATGCTGACTCGACATTGCATTTACAAACAGTTGAAAACATTTGTATTCCAGATGGGTGGAGTTCAATACATTGCAGATCTAAATTGCCAGTTTGTGACTAAAAAAAACAAGCTCCACTCACTTCCATATACTTTCCTTTGATTGTTTAAACTTTATGGTAGTTTTTAGCAGCAATCTGGTCACTAAGGAGCTTTTTTAAGTATAATAAAGGATTTGTGCATTCAATTTGTCTGATGGCAGTAGACATTTGTCCAGTCTGTAAGGGCTAAGCAGCCTAAAAAAACACGGCTGTGCAGCGGTGGTCTTTGTAAAGCCCCATTGTTATTCCCTTTTGTATCCACACATGTCTTTCCTGCTGTTTCCTTAATGTGCAACACTTACTAAACTCTCAGATTGTCTGATATAACTATGATGTGCTGAAATGTCGATTGTGCTTATCACCATCCTCTGTGGAAAAGGGGCAGCTGGCATTAGGTCCCAGAGATAGAAGCGAGAGTGCAAAGAAATGCAGCACTGAGAGGTTAACAGCCCAGCAAGTACAATGGGTGTTTTATGGTGTTCGCATAAAGTGTGAGGACAGGTATTTTTGGTGCCCAGCTGGGGTGAAATGTGGCCTCGCCTCGGCAGGCAGAAAGTCTCTCTTCTAGAAGTCTCCGTGCTGAGTTCAGTCTGCACTAGAAAGTATTCCTAAGACAGCCTATGCATCAGACTGGCCTTGCTTTACCTCTGACATTCCTCGAGCATGATCTCACACACAGGATGGATTTCCTCTTACATCTGTAGGTTTGGTTTTGGGGGTGGGTTGAAGTTGCATGTTGCAAACTGACTGCATTTGCTTAATGCATCACTGGGTTTCTATTTTAAGATTTAAACAGGGCATTAAGTAATCTATGAACTCTATCAAGCTCTGTGGGTGATTTTTAGGAATTAGGACAACATGAGTGGAGCTTATCTCCTACTGTGCAAGTTTCTGGCGCTCCCCTCTTTCCTGACCACTTAAGCTACTTGTAAATGACACAAACAGCAAAGCAGCGAGCAAAAGCAAAAGAACAAAAGGTGCATAGAAGAGCTGGTGCTAGAGATGTTTTAATATTCACTGAAACTGCTGCTCAAAATCTCTAAAGTCTAATTTTGCTTATGTCATTTTGATTGGAGTTTTCACTGTTGTTTAATCTCATGATTAAAGCTGGCGTAAGTAATTTTGGACCTTTGGAGGAAAAAAAAAGATTCCAAAGGAAAACACAGCCACGATAAACCGTTGGCTTGTAGGTTTGTTATGGTTACTAACAAATCCAGTGGACACAGACCAACAAGTTGTTGGATTCATGTTTCAGGTCAGTGGAATTTGCAGATTTTAAACTCAGGTTTGGTGCTTTTACTCCAAATAAAGACATGTGTGTCTTTAGCTTTTAACGTTGATGTTTGGCTCTCTGCTTTCTGCTCTTCTGAGCTTGTGTGGCACAGTTTTATGCAAGTTACTGAGAATCAGAGCCGTACTGCTGTGTGGAAACGTGGCTGAAAGCTGACGAGAGCTACACAGAATCTTTTTTTACATCAAATTGAACAAATACTATGTATAGCTTTGCTCTCAGCGTGCAAATAGATTGTTTGGTGTTTCAATTCTCTGCTCCGCACATGATAAAATGGTAAATTGCAGTGTTGCTTAGTACCACAGAGACAATAATTACTAATTTCCTTTTGTTCTTTTGGGTGTTTAGCTATTACTGAATGAGTCATTCACACAACCTAGTTTGTTTCCTCCATCAGTGAGCTCTTTTAGATGGGAGTAACTGAGTGGAAGTGGACTGATGAGTCTCAAACAGCGTTTGATGTCAGGGTCATGTCATGTAGCCCCCTCCTTTCACAGATGTGTGTATGTTTGTTTTCTTTCTTTCCTTTTTACTTTGTAAATTTCTTAATAACTGTCGTGATTTTTTTTTTTTGATTAACAGGAAGACATTTTATTTAAAGAAAAATATATATTTATATATGCCTCTCGCCCTAAGACAACTGGGATAGGCTACAGCCCAGTTTGATCACTGATGAAAGATAATTGTACTTACTTGTTTTGCTCAATGTAGTAAATGTGTAACAAGAATTGCTGTGAAAAAAATGTCTGTTTTCAGTTTTTTTAGCTTGACAAGCTGGCAGTAGCTGGCTTGCACAGCGGAGACACGGCAGATAAGATGAAGATGAAGTGTTTTATCTGCTTTATCTGTGTTGAGCTAAATTCAGTTCAGCATATAATTACTACCAATAGACAAAACAGATAGACTACTGATACGTCATTTAGTTGAGTCACACTGACGTTGTGTTTTCTGTGGCAGTAGAACAAAGGCCGAATGAGTGCTGTTCTTTCGTTCTCCCGAGCTCATGAATTGAATACCTGGAAATCTCCTTGTGGGTGTTGGAGTGATGGTCAGGAACACTTCAACCAATGCAAAGTGTGGAAACGAGGCTTTGGTTTTTATTTTCTCGTTTATACATGAAGGTTACACGAGCACCGCGAACGATCCACTGTATGAAATTAAAAGATGAGCTGATGCTATCACTGGATACATTAATAGAAATGGTTTCTTTCTAATTATTCAGTTTTAATTTTGTTTAATTTGTTTCTTGATCAACCAACTTCCTAATTGTTTCTAATGACTGTGATCTAACAATTATTAACTTTAAAGGTGCTTTTCTTTGCCACACCTCACCTGTACTCACTAAATTACTTCATATATTTGTGTGCAGGTTCCTCATGGGAGAAATCCATAAGACAAATTGGCTTTGAAAGGTAAGATAAGATTTAAACTAATAATGAGTTATAAATAATAATGATGCTAATAATAATAATAATAATTCCACTCATCGGTTCTGCCTGCACTTGTGCTACAAAATGATTTCAGTTCATGTGCTGAAGGTGGAAAACAGTGGCACAGTCTACAGAGTGGATGTGGATACTTTATTTATATTTTATAGCACAAAAACACTAGTGAGCGAGAGCGAAAATCAAAATTAATATAAAGAGTAGTGTAACAAATTACTTGCTCTGGGAGTAATTAAGTAGCGCACTGCATTACTTTTAAGAAAAGTGTTCTCTGTTATATGTGTAATAATTACGGAATTACTTACTAAAATTATTTATGTAGCAAATAAAAAATAACAATAAAGTGGGAAACAAGACAAAACCAAGGTGCTGTCCACATTATGTGGCCGACAAAATTAAAAATATTTATGAAAAAGTCAGGATAACAGAATGTTAATGTATGATCAGTTAGTTTGGATACTGTTACATGCAGGGACGTAAAGCAGAGTCGAGTCTGAGCAGGGAATCAAGCAGTCTGCACCAACTAAAGATGAGACACTATGGACTGAGCGGTCTGCAGACACAGTGTGTGCAGTCAAAACTTTATAATTTTGTGTGGAAAAAAATTTGGTGAAATACGATTTTTTTAAAAAGTAGAATTTAGAAAATAAACTATTGTATAATGTGATAAACTAAATAACAAAATATACCTTATAAAATAACTATACAAAAAAGGGGTCACCTGAAAATCATTAAAAACAAACTAAAACGAAATATTTGTACGAAATGAAAACAAAATCAAAATAAACAAATTCAGTTTTGAAATTGAAACCCTGCTGAGCGATGATAACACATAAATAGTACAACTGTGGTTGCAATAATAATGCAGTTTTAAGGAAATATCTTTAAAAATAAATTATTTTAAAATTCACATTTTCGCTTCACCTTTTTGTATCACCGCTCTGTTTGCAGGAGGTGGCACCGACCGTGCAAAGTGTCTTAAATATAGCAGCCCCACAATAACATTAAACATCACTTATTACTGTAGCTGCAGTGGCTCGTCCTGTGCCCAGCTTCATAAAAGCTCCAAACCTGTCCCTGTGTGGATTCTTGTTGAACGCTAAACCCACTTATGTTTGACAGTGGGTTGACGGGCCTATTTTTCAAAGCTTTTGCTGTTGTGTCTGCCTCCCCCCCCCACACACATGATCATATTAGATGTGGTTTCCTGAGTACGGGAATGTCCTAACTCAGCCACGTCCTTTTTTCCAGTACTCAACATCCTTCATACTGTAAGTGGCGGAAGTAGAGCCATAAACATTTCATCCCATATGCATTTACCTGTTTGTGTCGAGGGTCATATACAGTATATGAGCAGTGATTACAGTTGGCTTTGGTGCATTTTAATGCCTAAATGGACCTGAGCTCAGATGTATCCAAACCTGAAAACGATTCACAGCTGTTGTGTGACTTTTTCAGTCATGCTGAGTGTTCAGTTTACTCAGGATTGACCTTTGCAGATCCTTCATAAATACCAAATATTTATATACAGGGCATATTTTATTTGGTCTATATTTAAAGTTTTTCACTGAGGTGGCGTGACTAATTCCAGCTGTAGCTTGGACCAGTGAGGACAGGTCCGAACACTACTGATGTTTTTGTGATTCCCTCATACGATAACTATGGGAAAAGTGGGAGTCACTGAAGTTACTGGCTCAGCCCCGTTTGGCTCTGATGGTTTCCATCTCTTTCATCCGTGTGAGGATGCGCGAAGCTTCACAACAATGAAGCAAATGGAAACAGGCGTCCTTGAGCAGATTAAACTCCACAACAGAAGCCAGAGGCGCATCTATTTATCGGTGTGTGCGTTTTTCCATCAAGATGATTAGCACTCTGGTTTCAACTTGTTAACTTTTATAAGCTTTATATAAGCTCAAGACCAGAATCCAGAATGACACTGGCTGTTTTTTTTCTCTTTTTTTAAAAATTACAAGTATTTGGTCTGCTTTTTCTCTGCAGCCTGAGCCGCAGAATCACCAGTATGGTGTGTTTATTGTAAACTGTTTAATTACTCTTGGAGCCCAGCATGAAATGTAAAGAAAACACTTTAGTGGCCAAACACAGGATGGAGCGCTATTGCTGTAAAACCAAAATAGAAATTGGTTTGGATGATAAAAGAGAGTTTTAAAGCTTTTGAAACCTGTTAGCCATTTCAGGGACAATTTTTATTTGATTTAATAGAACATGCAATCATGACACCTCATAAAATGCGTCCTCGGGCAGCATAAATGCATCTCTCTGGATTATTTGAAGTCTGAGATTACTGCAGCAGTCATGGCAACTGTCCGCCACCAGTGTTTAGCTTCCTGTTTGAACAAACCTTTTTGTATTTAATTAGACGTGAGCGGATTAATCAAATAACAAATGTTGCAAAGGCAGTGTTTGTTCACAGCGCTATAACTACAAGAGTTTAAACAGCGTCATGTTTTAATATATCAGTAATAAAAACCCCGAGCTGTCTTCGTGTAAATATGATTTGTTTATTAAGTGTTGTCAAGAGAATTCAGACAGATGGACAGACATCTCAAAATGATCCCTTTATTTAGTCCTTACTTTTCTTACTCCATGCAGATGAAAGAGAAAAGAAATAGGGCTAATTACGCCAGCTGCCTCCGTACGAACAAAGGATGCAGTTTTTAGGGAAGTAAACATGTTTTTCACAGTTTAGTTAAAAACAGAAAATAACGCTCTCCCTCTCTCATGGCCTTTTTGTTTGAATGGAATTTAACTCGTTAACAGCAATATGTTTAAAGCCCGATTTCATTAAAGAGGGTGGTACTGCATATAAAATCTGAGCACAACACATATTAAAAGAGCACTTGAGTAAGGGAAAAATACAGATTCCCATGCGTTCATGTGAACAGGTGGTGTTTTGCTTCAGTAATACCTGTTCTCGTGATTCTCAGTGCAGCTCCTGTCTGCCTGAAACGGATTAGAATGAATTAATAACTTTTCTTTATTTTAGTTTTAAAAAGTCAGAGATACAGAGGGACATGTGACGTGAACTCAGCCAAGTTCAAACACAGGGCAGCACCTGTTTATGGGCAAAAGTAAACTAAACAAGCGACCAGCAGTCCCTGGATTTCTCAGAAAAACTGCTTCATATTAGACCTCATTGTCCACGGGCAGTTAAGCCTGTTTTATCTTGTCCCACTTTCAATCCTTTATGTGTTATTGGCCTGCAAGATTCCTCCAAATCACGATTTTTGGGATTCATCTGCACTTTGAGGAACCGAGCGTCTGCTTTCTGTCAGCATCTGTGTCCCATCTTTTGTCTGTTTGTCCCCAGCGTGAGAGGTGCAGATGCGGGGAATGGCATCCGAGTGTTCATCCCCGATATCGGCATGTTTATGGTCGGCTTGGGCATCTGGCTGCTGTGTCGCAGTCTGGTCCAGAAGAGGCCGCCTGAGGACATGGCACAGTACAATGAAGACTTCCAATCAGAGGAACAGGTAGGTTTCATTTGAGCTGAAATGAAGTCCGTCTGTCTGGATGGTTTGAAAAGTTCTTTTAATTTTGTTGTTGTTCATTGTAATATTTTCTTACTCCATGAAAACTCCACACAATTAAGATATTCACGGTGGGTGGAAAAACAAAGTATTGGTCGGTTTCACGCAGAAAGAGAAAGGAATGGAGAGCAGTCTACTAATTGACTTATTGTTTCCTGTCCTGTTTGAAATAAAAAGTGAAGGGAGGTGTGGGTTAAAGTGTGGATTTCATAAAAAAACAATAAATCATTTAGGAAGCTGAGTACAAGCAGATTTTTGTGCCTAAAACAAAGAATAAAAGTGTCTTGAAGAGAATAATGTCTCAGTCTAGTCGGAGGAACTTTCAGTTGGCCGTAAACTCCTATGTAAACAATTTCACACAAACTGATTACAGACTTCAGCGCTGAGGAAAGAAAAAGTTGTTCATTGTATGCTGTCAAAATTATTGCTATAAGTATATGAAAGGAGACTAAAAAGTTCACAAATCTGTTCATTATAAATACAAAACCTGAGCTTGTTTAAATCGCACAGCTACTGGCATCCCCTCTCTGAAAACCTGTGTGCGCATTCGTGATTTCACCATGGACCTCCAACTCATACAGAGAGCAAATCTCAAATTCAAAGTGACCTGACATTTATGTTGAGAAACATAGCTGCTGAAGAGAACTGCATCTTTTCTAGACCTTAAAAAAAGAACCACATTTAAAACAAATTAATAATAAAATATTTGTGTTTTTAATGACCGTCTAAACTAAATTCACCTTGTTACAAACAATCAAATTCAATTTCACTTCAGTTCAGTTTTATTTATGTGGCACCAAATTAAAATGATAGTTCCTCGAAGGCGCTAAAATAGCCTCTTGTATAGGGCTCTTCAAGTCCTAACCTGAGCTCTATAAGCTCTATAAGCTGTAAGCAGCAGAACTCAAGTAAACTTCCCCGTGAGCGTTGGTGACTTGGACAACATCCCCCGTCTCCTGGCAAGTCCTCCCTTCTCTTTATGACTTGTGTTAATTAAATCCACATTCACTTTCACTTCCACTGTGCTGCTCTGGTTGGCACAGATGGCATGGCCGCTTTATTACTGAGAAACACCAGAATTAATCTACAGCGCCTGTATTGCGTTCTGTTATAACAGGATTTTCCGCCTGCTTCTTTCTTTGCCTAGCACTTTATGTGTTGAAGTGAGTGGCCTGCTTGCTATGATGTTTCTCTTTTACAGAGTCTTAGGGAAGTCAGGGACACATAATTGCTTAGATTCAGCAGCCAAGGAAGATCTGACTGGATTAGATGTCAAGCCAACATGTAGTTCCAGAGGAAAACATCTGCTAAGGCTTTCAAGCATATATGCTCTGATATGTTGTGTTACATGCTAACCGTGCTGACAGACCCTCGCAGGAACACACGTGACACACTTTACTTTTTTAGTATTAGTAGAGATTACCTGTAAGAAAATGTTTTCAGCACCATGGAGAGCTCTGACCTCCGAGCTGCACCCGTATGTGCACCTTAAATGTGTCGCTGTTATCTCCTCCCAAGGAGGAAGACGAGAAGCTAAGCCTGGAGGACAACGTCCTGTTGGAGGAAGACTATGAAGCAGGGTACGAGGCTGAGGAGGACGAGGAAGATGATGTGCTGGAGGATGAAGAGGAGGAGGAAGAGGAGGAGGAAGAGGAGGCAAAAGAGAGCACAAAGATGAAGATTCTGCGGATGGTGGCAGAAGTTGCTTCCAAAGTGAAGGAGATCATCGGGAATTTGATAACCACTGCAGGAAAAGTGGTGATCACCATCTTGTTGTGCGTAACAGGTGAGGAAATCTTTTCTGTTTGTGGGGCAAATAAATAGTTTCAGATTATCATGAAACATGCAGTCTGTTTGCTTATGTCTTCAAGTTGGGCACCTTACATTAACCTGAATGATGTTTGCTTTACAATTCCACCAGTTTTTGCTCCTCCAGCTAAGAGCAGCCGGGCTTTTTGAATACTTTTGAGTTTAAAACATTTTTCTGTTTAAACTTGTCTCAGTGGCTTTTAATCAGGGCCACTTTATAGACATTTAAATGGGGGGATTTGTGACAATCAGAAAATTCTACTCTGATTTTTTTAATGATTTTTGACTGTAAACACCAGTGTTTTTGTGGAGGAGATGCAGTTCCCAAGCTGTGAAGAAAAATTTATGAGATATATGAGAGGGAGTCAATGTTTTTCTATAATTAGCACAAGATCTCCCAGCGCATATTGTGAGATACTCTGATTTAATCTTTGGGGGGGGGGGGTTCTTAATCTAATTATTTTTTTTATTCTGTTGAAGTATGAGGGGTAGGTGCTGAAAAATATCTTAATGAGAAAGAAAGAAAGAAATGGCCTACTTCCAGTCATCCTATTAGCAACGTGTATTTAGCGTGAGTCTGCTGGCTTTAATTTCAGACCGGTGCTCATAAAACCTGTTTTTCCACAGTTTCCAATGTGTTGTTGAACTCACCTTGAATAAAGTGTTTTTAAAACAGTAACTACATAGCTATGACGTTGTGATAACGAAAACAAGTGTGATGCAAGGAATTTAGAGGAATTTAGATTTAAAATCTCATAATCCCTGAAAAAACAAGGCAGCAAAACCCCTCACCTTCATTCAAGACTTTAGAGAAAAGAAAACACTGAATAAATGATTCATTAATTCTCATATAAAAAAAAATATTGCGACTCCAGACCACTTTAACTACTGCTCAGTCATGCCTAATTTAAAATCACTAGTTAACCTGACATACATGTCTCTGGACTGTGAGAGGAAGTTGGAGGAAGCCCACACGTGTACAGGGAGGATATCCAAACTCCACACACAAAGGCCGCAGCTGAGGCTCAAACCAAGAACCTTCTTGCCAACAATGCTTTCACTGCACTGCACTTTTATCACTATTCAGATTTCTCTGGTGACAGTATATAATATAAAGTGTATTTGACCTGTAGTTTGACAGCCAAGACGTAAAACTGCATGAATAACTATGTTAAACCATATTTGGAATTATTTCTCAGTCAATATTTAACAGCATTAATGATGTGAAAGTTTTGCCACATTCAACATATTAAAACATTATAAAATTATGGGAACACAATCTGAGGCTCCATGTGGGTTAAGAAAAGGCTTGTATTTATATACCACTCTGGCAGATGTCTGACTGGTTTTCACTGGTTTTATGTTTGCAGGAATCACGCTGCCCTCGTTGACCTCAGCTGTTTACTTCTTCACCTTCCTCTTCCTGTGCACCTGGTGGTCCCTGCGCCGGACCTTGAGCACGCTGATGTTCAGCTGCATGTGTGTTCTGATGGCCATCTTCAGCGCCGGACATCTGATCGTCCTCTACCTCTACCAGTTCCAGTTCTTTCAGGAGTCCGTCTTGACCAATGACGGCTACATCAGGTCAGAAATGTGGAGCTCAGAATTCAGACATTATACTGCTTTAAATTTTTGGCTTTACATCAGACAAACAAGACTTTATATTATTATTGTTTTATTATTTTCCACAATTTAACTCTGTTGGGCAAAACGGATCGCGGATCATTACAAATAATATGCTAACTCTATGTTGTTTGTATTTGTCATTCTCAAAAAATCAACAAAAACCAACAGGCTTTAAAAACTTTTTAAAAAGTATTTTTTTATTCTCAGATAGGTTAGCGAAAGCAGAGTAATCAGACCTCAGAGGGTTAAACTTGGTCGGTGCACTTGACTTTCACTCGGCACACAAAAGGAAAGGAAACCAACTCAGGAACAAACACAAACTGTTGTCCCAACGACACAGTGAAAGTCAAACTGTGGCATTACAATTTGTCTCTCTCCTGTCATTTTGATGAATTGCTGAAATGTATTTCCGTAGTTAAACATCACAATCTGATACTAACGCTCTTTTATCATGTGAATATAAATGACGTGTTGACAGGGCTCAGGAGCCAGAGCTCCTTCGACTCAACGAGATTTATTGCGCCCGAGGCAAGTTTGTTTAAACAACAAATATTTACTGTTGTTACAACCTAGAAAGCAATGAAAAGAAAAACTTAGCTGGAGGGTAGCTTCATCAGACTCCTACTCATAGCACATCAGTGTCAAATGCAGAGCTTTTAAGCTCTTCACTACAACCAGTGCTGTTTTATTATGCATGAAAAAGGAGGCAATCAGCTGTCTGTGGCTGCTGCGGTGAAGCGCTGTGGTTGGACTAAAGCCACACTGGTGAACGTCTTGCCAATATATGTTAGTCACAGTTGTTCAATGAGCTGACTTCATAGCAGGCAGTCTGTCAGCTCATTGTTTCTATTCTGACAGCTTGGGATGAGAATGATGCTGTTTATTTAATAACAAATGTACACTTTTAAAATATCTGCTATAATTCTCTCTAAACATGTCCTCTATCGACTTCTGCTATTAATTTGACTTTGTTTTCTTCACTGGTGTTAATCAGTCATCTGATTTTAATTGTTTAATTTGGCTAACGAAGACATTCCCTGCTTCTGTTCACTTATCACGGACATTGGAGTTGGGGGTGAAGTTAGGCTCAAAGTGGAGGAGTTTAAGTATCACTGGATCTTGGAACGGAGAAAGAAAGATTGACAGATGAACCGGTGCAGATGCTGAACCAATCAATCTGAGATGGTTGAGCCATCTGATTAGGATGCATCCTGGATACCTCCTCAGTGAGATGTTTTGGACATGTACAACCGGGAGGAGGCCCCTGGACAGATCCGGGACATGTGGGAGAGATAATCTTTCTCAGATGGCTTTGAAATACACCAACATCCTCTCAGAAGAGCTGGAGGAGGTGACTACGCCTTAGAATGCTAACTGGACCTCGAGAAGCGAGGGTGGATGAATGGATGCCAATATCATTTTAGTGGAGTAGTGCAGCTCAAAAAAACCCTGGAATATCAAAAAAAAGTGAATGATCTTACAGTTTGATTTAAAAGCTTTCTTATTTAATACACATGAAGAGAAATATTTCAAACTAATCTTTGGTTTAATTTTGATGAATGATGATTAGAGAATTATGTACAACATTAATTTTGTATTAAAGATAAAAACAATTGGAGTCCAGCAGCCACAGTAAAGGTAATTTATCACACTAAACTAAAACTAAAAAAAATGCAAATGTGATGCTTAAATTCACTAGTAACTCAGAAAGATCAATTAAAAAATGGCTTTGAATGTAAACTAGAAAAGCTGTCTAAAGTTGATGTACGCCCACTGCTGCACAGCAGGTCCTTTAACTTATAGTAATGATGCGGTGTCTCACCAGTAGCACTGCAGCTGTCTCTGTGTAGCTGATATCTCAGTGCCCTTGGTGTTGCTGTGTTTTATTGATCTCAGACTTTCTCATTTGAAAGCTGTGCTGCTGTTACAGCTATGTATAGCTGAAACTGCCTCGATAAAGCCCGTGTCCTCTCCGTCCCGCTCCGGCCTCAGATGGCAGATAAGGAAGCGATTACAGTGTCCCACTGACAGGTTTTTCATTAGGAAACAAAGTCATTAGAATGAATGAACCGCTCACCCTCACACCATCTACACAGGGTAATCTCTTTAAATCGTCCAGCTTTAGTGACCGCGCAGTCTGAGTGTGTGATAAATTTGAGGGGTCATCACATCCCTCTAGTATGCTTTAGTTTACCTTTACGTCTTAGGTTGTCTAAAAATCCTTAAATTTAAGAGAATACTTGTTGTTATTGGTCCCCTGAAATACTTAATTAAATGCTGGATATTGGAAAGTAAAATACTTAAAGGTGAGTGTAGGCTCTCGCCTCCAGAAATCTTTTAAATGAGACATAAAAGGAAAAGAATCACTGCCGTTAACACGTCACTGAGGAAGTAATGTTGTGAAGGCCAAAATTAGACACACATTTTAAGGGTGATTGGCATAAAACTGTTGAGAACTCGATGCCCTATGTACAAAGCATAAAAAAGCACTCTTTACTTTTTAAATCCCCTATTTTATATTTAGTTAGTGTTTTATGGGGGGAGGGTTCCCAAACTGTGGTCTTCTCATTTCAGAAATAAAGAAGGCCCTAATTTGTCTGTCTGAGGGCCAGCATTTGGAAAGGTTGTCACTGTTCCGATTCTTATTTCACAAACAGACTGTCTGTTTCATCATTTGCCGTCTACTCACACGTTCATGTTGACTTTCCACATCACTGAAGTATTTCTGTCTGCTGCTGTGTAAAAACTGAGGCATGATCTCCTCTGCTCTGGCCTGTTTAGTTCGCACTTCAGGTCGTCAGAGGGAAACTATTGGCCCATATATACGTGTAGCCTCGATTTGACAATAGGCCACCTCAGTGCCTGTCCTAATTGTCCCTGCTGACAATGACTCGGCCTTGCTGTGGACCTGGTGCTGAGTGAGACTGTTGAGAGTCCTGGCTTCCACTTCACTTCCTGCCTCACCGCCTTAAAGTGGAAGTCCCCTGTCATGTGACTAACCGGCCTTCCCCAGTTGTAACAAGAAACTGTTCAGGAAATGTGCTGGGTTCTGGGGGTCGTTCGCTCCTCGACATGGCATGAAAGACAAGACTCTGGAGGCTTCTAAATCTGAGTGTTTGTCACTGGAATACGTCAGTGCAGTTCCTGAGTAGATGACCTTTATTCTGCTCAGAAGGAAAAGGAGTGAAACATATGACATCCTTTGTTTTATGAACACATTTTTAGCCTGGCTGCATTGTACAGAATCCAGGGTTAGAGAGTTTCTTGCCAAAATGACCACTAGAAGAGAGTTGCTACCAAAATCAGAAGGTATATTTAGTTTTTTAAAGTTCATTACAGAAGTCGACTGGAAGAAACTGTAACACTGGTTTTATTAAAGTGGATTTATGATGATGTTACAGTGGCCACTTCATCCACTGTCAGAAACAAACTCCTTTAACTCCTCTCCCTTAATCCCACTTTCTTCTGATTGGCTGCTTTTCATCAAAATGTTTGGACAGTGTGTGCATTTGGCTTCCGTGCTCATAGTGAAACCTGTATACCTGAAGTGAGGAGCAATATTTGCCTTCTGTGAGATCACCATAAGCTAGTTTGATCATCATTGTTTATGTAGTGTCAAATCACAACAAAAACAAAAACTTGCATAAACCATAAATAACTTGCAGTGTTATAGAAACCCCAACAATCCAGAAATCCCCTGTGAGCAACTTAAAGTGACTGTGAGGAGAGAAAAAACAACAGGCAGCAACAGGCTCAGGAAGGGAGCCCTCTGCCGCAGCAAGTTGGGGGTTGAGGGGAAACAGATGACAGAAAAGGCGATGAACAGGATCAGGATGATCAACAAACAGGATAAATCACTACCTATGGAAGGGCTTGGACTCAGGTTAATAACAAGCAGTAGAGGGAAATAAATGCACTGAGAGTCAAAGAGAGAAAGAGAAAGAGAGCATAGAGGAGAAGAGCTCGGTGCATCATTTTACAAGTCCCCCATCAGCCCCAGTCTATGGCAGCACAACTAAGGGCTGTTTCAGGGTCAACTGATCCAGCTCTAAGAACAAGCTTTCAAGTTTTTAGCTTGCGTCTGTCTCCCTGACTCAAACTGAGAGCAGTTTTGACAGTAGTCAGACAGTAGATGAAGGCCCTGCCAATAAGTAAGCCTGCACAGAGCGAAATACTCTGCTGCGATCACATGGCACCATTTATTTTAAATTTCTTTCTGTACTGCCATTCTCCATAATCACCAAGCCTCCAATTAGATTTACCCTAAATACTGTTCTTTAAATCATTAAACTCTCAACACTGAACTGAACTGGATTTACTCGGAGCATCTGAGCAAAACAGTCCAGACATCCGTCTCCCCAGCAACACATTCCCACACCTTGCGGGAAATCTCCAGGTGAAGCCCGATGAGTTACATAGTCTCTCTCATGTGTTCTGTGCAGTCATCAGAAGATTTAAGCTGTTAAGAGCTTTCGTACATTTTTGCTCTCCAGGATACGACTAAAGGAAGCCAGTATACTGTTTGATTTAAATTTGTTTAGTAAAATGTTTCTTTTCATGTATAAACTAAAGAAATTTACAAAGTAAAACATTAGGAGACAAAAAAGCGTTATAAAATCTTATTTGTCTGCTGTTTTTACTGCTTAAAAACCTTTTTTCCATCCTCATAAACCTTTCTGTCTCTTCTCAGTGTGTTTGGCATCTCCCCCATTGTCCAGAGCAACTGCTCCTGCACGTGGAAGCTCACTGTGCACCCGCGGCGTAAGTGGTACCACTTTGTCAGTCCCATCATGCTGCTGATCCTCTATTACACCCTGGCTACTCTCATCCGCCTCTGGCTGCAGGAGCCCATCGACCAGCTGATGGTGAGGACAGAGAGAGCGCACACTCCTTTTTTTTAGTCAAAACGTTGTGACATGTTTTGTAAAGCACATCAATAATTTATTGATTTTCATTTATATCGGGTGTTTTTGATTTGAAAGCAGCTCCACAATTGTATTTATGATCTGGCTAAATTTAGATGTTATGGGTCAGATACTGCAGGATTTACTAAATCACACTGCCTGTATGACATGTACATTTGCATGAGTTTAATATAATAATCCAAATCGCCAAGACAGCATATCTGCTGTTACAGACAGAGCTGAGTTTAGGTTTTAGTCACGTTCATATACAGAGATTCATGCACGAAAAAAATTTTCAGGGAACATAGAAGCTGCTGCATGTCTTTTCTCAAGACTGTGCACACACAGAACTCTGCAACATCACAACTCAGCTTTCACAGAGTTTGATCCTTTTCCTGTTTCTGTAGCGTTGGATCTGTTACATAAATATTTCAAACAGCTTTTAATGGAACTCAGACAGATGTTCAGTTTTAAATCTTAGCTTTGCAGAACAATATGAGCTACCTGTGCGTTTACTCACTTGTACAGTAACAGTAACTTCATTAGCACATGTTTGGGGCAGAATTTGGCGATCAATAATAAACAGATTTTAGGTTTATATGGCAGGGTGTTTGTGATAAAGCTGCCCCTCTCTGAGTAAACCCTACATCAAATCCTACTACCTGCAGATCGATTTTTTTCAGCTACATCTCATTGATCTGAATTGCTGTGGGGTTTAAGGAGACACGTGTGTCAAAGAGATCCTCATACTGAGATTTTTTTGGTTAATAGATGACTCACTCCCTGTTTTGGTATGCTCACTTTTGACCTGCTAATTTGGGTCAGTTTGTTGCTGTTGCTCTGCAGTACTCGAATTAAACTGGTGGACAATATCGAAAAAAATCATTATTTCACCAAAAAGCCATCATCAGTGTGATTTTATGTGAAATAGCAATCACAGTACATGAAAGTTAGATGAGATTTCTGTACTAATCAAATAAAAGACATCTGCAGCCAAAAATGACTTTTTCAAGAATTGTATCATCACATTACCACTATACACAAATACACATGGGATATGGGAGGGTCAGTGTTAAAACTTGAACTTTCCTTAATGTTTAAAGGGGCACTGTGGGTTCTTTCTTCTGTTTCCTCTGTGTCTGGAAATCACAATTTTTTTTAAATTACTTTTTCATTTTTACCTACTAGCTCACAAGGGCATTTCAACAACTGGAACACAAATTTGGTTATACAAGAAAATTTGTTTTTAATTTCTCATTTTTGACAAAATAAAAATTACGCATTTGGGCTTTATATTGTGACACTTTAAATTGTTTGGTTTTTTTTTTTGCTTTATCAGAGCGTAAATGTGTTTTTCAAGCTCCTTGACAATTTCGACTGACTAGTTCCTGTATTTGAAGTTATGAGGGATAAACTAAAAAAAAAAAAACATAAAAAGAACCCAATTTCCAACCACCCCAGTTTGAAAGCCGGTGACAGTTATTAGGTATAATGTTGCATGGATTAGGTTAATTTGCAAAAGATTTGGTTCTGAAGGATTCAGCAATGAACTTTTCTCAGATGTGACTGCTTTTGAGTAAACACAGCGAGAGAAATACACTGGGTTACAGAGACCAGCTCAATAGAAAGGTTACTTTTTAAAAAACGCCTGATGACATTTAGCTATGACTGCCTGATTTCACTCTGTCCAATCAATCCAATATCACGCAAAGCTTGTAGTCAACAACTCAGTTCATACAATTCTTGACTTCTAGCAACTTCACACAAACTCAAAAATCTGTGACTATTAACACAAAGTTAGACCTAATAAATTATATCTAACTGAACAATAACAGTGTAGAGAAGAAACCTTGGTGGACAAACAGCATGTGCATATTTATGCTGCCCAATTTAAATTAACTCCTCCTTTGGAAAGTGTGGATTCTGGATGAAAAGCAGATGCAAAAACTGGGTGGGTGTCAGAGACACGGTTTGAATGCAGTACACACAGCCTCCATGACAGCTCCACAGTAAATTCCAGACAGTGAACTGAAATAGATCCAGATTGAATTAAATGGGCAACCAGGTGGCCTTGTGATCAGAGAAACCGTACTGATGGAAGATTTCAGGGCAATCGATCACTGGTGGAATCTGTACACAGCTTAGGTGTTATCTGAGACACTGCTGGTCTAATTTTGACAAAGCATAAAGGGAGGACCGGTTTCGGCGCTACGTTCCTGTTTTACAGAGCTCTGTGCGAGAGAAAAATGCAGCTCTTACATAATAACAGAATCCACTGCTCCAAAAATGTTGAATGAATGAAAGATCAGTGTTAAAATCTTTTCTATAGAGTCTGTAATTTCACACTTTTTCTCTTTATCAAGTTTATTCCTCACCTCTGTGAAATTATTTAGTATATTTTAAATGATTGCTTTGGGTTTTTATTGCTAATAATATTTTACAATTTTGTTTCTAACGTCTGGCCACAATAAGCAGCTCTTTAAAACACAAAAGTATCAAATGCACCCAGCACTTAGGTGTCACAGATTTGTTTTTAAGTGTAATCTTTGATTGCGTTGTGAGTTTCACTGCCACTGTACTATCCACTGTACTAGTGGGGAGACAAATCACAGATATGGAAGGAAAAAAGGAAAGGAAGGAAGGAAAAACCCACACTTCACTGACGGAGTATTTTATTTTAACAGTTTTGGTGAACTGACCCTGACTGTATTTTTGCTCTGCTCCCACCACTGAGTTGAAACTAAAGTCCTGAGTGAAATGTTGTGCAATCATATTCAAGAAGACCGCCCCTCCTGAATTCATCCTGCCTTCCTTAACCTCAGAGCTCGAGCTCAGCTCCGTTGTCCTGTAATGGAGTTATAGATTAGTGTTTTTATAGAGAGATCAATACCAGCCTGTAAACTGGTGGGGCTGTATGCATTATTGATCACTTCATAGAGCGGTTTGTGTGTGTGTGTTTACGTGTACGCGTGCGTGGGTCTGTGTGTTTTCACCCACTCTTACACTTTAGATAATAAAAAAATGATTGTGGCTTAAATCAGCAGCGGACAGGTTTGTTCGATGGTGGAGATGCCAGATTATGATGGACTTCATGTTTGCCAGAAAAATAAGGCGGATTATAAATCACTTTACAGGTTGATTTATAGTTTGTCATCTGTGTTTATTCAGCAGCAGTTCATCAAATTCTGAAAGCAGAGTAATGATCCAAAGAAGTGAGACATAAGGAATCTGCTTCAGATGAATTTATAAGGTTTCACACTTAAAAAAAATATCTTTAAGATCTGTATGATGTCAGACACAAAGTTCAATACACATTGTTTTCTGAGGGGCAGCCAATCAGAAGAAAGTTGTGTTAAAATGAGAGAAGCTAAAACAGCTTGTTCCGGGGAGCAGGAAAGGACCCAGATGCAAGACTTGTAAACTTAAAAAATAACAAAACAAGCCATTTATTAAGGTCAAAAGCAAATAGTGTCAAAATTCAAACAGCTAAAGCCAAAAGCACACAGGACAATAAGCAAAAACACACAAGGATGAAGTAAACAGAAAAAGAACATGATGAAATACACAAAAGAGGTAATTAGAAATTAGAGACACCTTGAGAACTAGACACATGTAAAACCAGTTAAGCTAAGAAGAAACAAAGAAAGAAAAATGGCTACCAAAATAAGGGATTAACATGACAGGGATAAACTGAAACTCAAGGAATTAAATATAATCTATGATCCTAACTACAAACAAAAACTACATTTCAAAGGTAGAAAAAAACTAAGACTGGGACTATTATCATAAAGAAGCCAGCCAGTAAATATCTGCTACATAAAAAAACTTAAACAGAAGTCCAACACCATAAACACAAAGTCACGTGACGACTCGCCTGATCAGTAGTGGGCTAAGGACCTTCAGGACCACCTCCAAAGGGGACAGCCCTCCTAGCCTAGTGGGCTAGGCGTATCTTACCTAAGACTCTGCCAGTTGCTTTAGAACTAATGAGTCCTTTTGGATGAGATTAAAACGCTTCAAAAACAATTTAAAAAGTGCAGCTGCCTTTTTTCTGTCATTTAAGACAAACCTGGATGACTGAGAATCCGCACAGACAATTAAGTCTCTTATTTTACCAGCAGTCTTAATAAACTTGGATCTCACTTTCTAGACCTGCTTACAAAACCCCAATGCATCAACACCTACAGAGAGATAATAGAAAGAAATGCATGAAACATTTTCAGAATTAAGAAGTCAAGTGCAAGAATGAATGTTGTTACATAAAAATAACAATTTAAAATGTTTCAATAACAAAATGTAGCTCCTTAAATTTGTATACTGCAAACTAACTGAATAAAGTAACTGGTAATATATAAATGAACATGTACTGCTTCCTCGTGATGCAGTAAATGATGAGTGGAGAAATAATCAGCTGTGCAAGACAAAATCCAGACAAAAAAATATAGACTGTACAATAGTCTTACCTTCTTTATTATTGATTTATTTATTTATTACAAAAATGCAACTGATTTTTGTCTTTAGTGTTCATGGTAGGTGCTGAAAATGAGCTTACCAGCTCCTCTTTAAATAACTTCTTGTGCATTTTTACTTCGCGGTGACACTCTCATCAGGGACGCTAACTCGGTTCATCCAAGTCCTCCTCAGTTTCTTCCCTCACAGACCGTAAAACAGTGTTTTCTAGAAGCAGATTGAAACCATAACTCTTGAGAGTATCATCTCCGTTGCACAACAGCGGAAAGATTCACATCAAACACGAAACTCTCTATCTGTGTTTTTTCAGGACGACAAGGACGATGATGTGTGCGAGGAGGAGGAGCTGGGCAAATCATTTATCTCAGCCAACAGGAAGCGGCTGCTGTGGTGGGGATCACGCCAGGGCACAGACGAGAAAAACGTACGTCAGGGTTAAGACACACGCGGACACAAGCCACTCAAAGTATTGATTATTATCATTATTTTTCTACGATGCCGTCCTTTTAAAACAAACCGGATAAAGGTTCAGAAACAGAGAAAAAAAAATAATATTTTTTTAACTTTGCAAAATTTTTTTTAATTGTCAGAACTGATAACAAATGTTGTCCTGAAACACTTTGATTTAGTTTTACGATTTAACAATAAGAGGCAGTCTTAATAAAGCAGAATGGAACAAATCAGTAATATTAAAGTTTCAAATAACAATAAAAACAACTCTATTAAACTCTAACGTCAAGCTGCAGCTGTTGATTGTTTCCTTAAACTTCCATTTGCTTCATCTTCATGATAATCGACTCATCCCTGGAAAGATTTCATACCAAGACACTTTGCCTCTCTCGCACACGCACGCTTATTGTGACCTTGTTCGTACATCAAGGCCCGTACGCTGTCTCCACCGTTGACCTCCTGAGGTTTAAAAGCTTTCAGGGTGTGCAGACGCAGATGAGTGATGGTCTCGATTTACAGATTAGCAGCACTCGGCTTTGTTCTTGCTTATCAACCACTATAAAGAACACGGAGGCCTTTGACTTCAGCAACTCATCGATAACACACCTTGCCTTGTATGCTCTTTTTCTCCTCTTAGCTCCTCTCCACCCAGGATGGAATCAGTACAACAGAGGTGCGGGTTGTTCTGGATGTGTCTTAAATCTGTGCATTTTCACCCCTTTTAGTCTTGCTGCAAGAAAGGAAATCGCTGCAAAGTGCTTTTCACACTGCATCCTCATTGAACGGGGTTCCTATAATTTTTACCTCCTGATTGGTTCTGTTAATCGAGGGCTTAAGTAAACATTATATATACATATGTTGGTAACCTGATCTACCTTTATCTTCTCAGTTGGTGGAAATGTTGGAAGAGGGAGTACCTGTACAGCTTTTACAATACAAAAGTCACAGGAATTATATCTGATGAATATTGATGATATTTAAAGGTTTGGTTCTTATTTTTAGACGCTCTTGAACACCCATTGGTTAAAATTTAGATTGAGGGTACTATTGCCTCCACTTTGAACTGTCCTCCTGTTCATATCAACATTGAATAAACATCTCTCAAATCTTTCAGCATTTATAACAGTGGAACATGAATTAAATTTTGAAAGTCAGAGCGCAAGCGAGTACATTAACAATTATAAATAACAAATGTTTTATGTTGCGTGGTTTGTTTTGTTATATTAGTATCAGTATTGGTCTAAATCTGTTCAAGGTTGAAGACGTCTTAGTACAAAAATGACTTCTTAATGTGCAACATTTGAGCAAGAGAAACATTGTTTGCAGGAGCACAGAAAAGTCATTTTGCACCAAACTCTCAACTTACAGCATTGTCAGTCTGCTGAGGCCTCACATTGTTTTAGGTAGTGATTTTTTTAGACATTATTTTTGCACAGGAAAAACTTACAGCTAGCATTATGAGGGGAAATTATTACGCTAGTACACACGTGCATTTGGCTATTTTTTAAAGAATTTACAGGCCTGTCTGTAGAAAGCACAATTTCTCAGATAGAGGACTGATGTTTTGTTTCTAGCTTCTCATATACAGAGGACATAATAACATCTTAAACTTAACAGTAGGCACCTGAAATATTTGCCTAATTCTATTTAAGAAGTTTTTCTTTCCCATGAAACCTTTTTCAGGCAGATCTGTGATTGTCGGATGGGAATTTTTTTGTTTGTTTGTTTTTTAATTTTAATAAAAGGCCTACAGCCCACATTGTATTTCAAAAACTACAAATGAGTAGAGATCAAACTAATGACATCACAATGTGAGAATGCTGTCACCTATCCACCACCAGCACACCTTCTAGGTTATCACAGCTCTATTTTCTCTCGATAACTACTTTAGTGCGGCAACAGCTTATTTAAACAATGTATAGCTAACAAAAATTGAGTTAATGAAGTTTAACAAATAAAAATAAATGGATTTTAATGTATATCACATCAAATTTGACATTCTACAGATACAAATATAATATGGATGTTATTCAAATATTTTGATGAGGATAATCATCCATTGAAAAAATATGAAAGCCCTCGATCAAAGTAATTTTAATTTGATTTCATTTCATTACATTTTTTTTTTTTATTTTTTAGAAAAGGGGTTGTATCGACTTCAAAAACCATGCAGTGTGAAAAGTAGAAATCGTGCCTCTATTGCCCAACAAAGCCAAAGTGTGGTAACTAAATGGCTAAAGTTTCCTGTGGAAAAAAACAGTGTCCAGTATCAAACAACATTAGTTACTCCTCTTTGCCTTTGTGAGGCATGCTAAACTGTTGTATGAGCTCATAACAAACAAAAAAAAGTTCCGCATCTACTGAAGTTTATTTGTTATTTATTTAAAAATGATCTGCAGGCTGTGCCCACTTCAAACGGGACCTCCTTTGAGTTTGCCGTGACTGAGAATGGACCAGTCTGTCGGGACTTGTACTCAACCCCTCAGTACAAAATGGACCAGCCCAGTGATGGCACAGGTGAGCTGTTTATTCATTCTATTATGAACATTTCTAGTCTGCAGTGAATCTGTAAAATAGTGCTGCTACCACATAAAACATTCAAAATTGTCATTTTGATATTAATCATAAACACCTCTATTCAAAACTGCATGTTTTATTTAAATTTGTTTGATCATGTGAAACGTTTTAGTGTGACAAAGATATAGAAAAGGAGAAATCAGGAAGGTGCTTGAATTCCACATTTGTTTGTAAGGGTTTAATTAAGTTTCATATGCTTAGTTACAAACGCTAAATAAA